CTATCAATAACTGAAAAATAATCTAATAAGAAAAAAAAATTCAACGGGACGTTTTCCGTAATATATTTTAACAAAATTTTTTGAGGTAAATTATGAATAGTCATACTTACAGAACAATTGTAAGAGTAGAAATAAAAAAAAATCTTACCTTTTTTTTAATTGATCGTTGCTCATACGTCGATGATTCTCGATCAAAAACTTTGTGACAGGCATCAGATTCATTGGAATTTATCATTGGACTCACAGGATTCACAGGAGGTAGCTCCAAGGATAAAATAATTTCTTGAAGCTCAGGTTCAAAATTATCAAGAACTCCTTCATTTAGTCCCGAATTGCTGAATAAGTGAGCCATTCTTATTAAAATTTTCCGGTTGAATACTTTTACTTGAAAATAAATCTATTAATTGCTATCGAAGCTCACTATGAAATTAAATGCACAAATTACTACGAAGTGAATAATTTAGAAGATTCAAAGTGACTGACGCATTGAGTGTCGACGATTAATTACCTATGCTTGTAGAGGGCTACAACTATATCGTTTTTGAAACCAAACATCTCATTGGTTGTGAAAAAAGGGACGTTTACTGTACTGATGTGTTTTAAAGAGTGGGGAGTTTTTCACTTTACAATAGAAGGTCTCTATACTGTAAGTATAAAACTATAGTAAGGCATTTTGCGCTTAAAATGTTTCTGTACACCAATATTGCTGTAAATAAAAATTAGACTGTAAATTTTTTTTCTTTATTTAATGCTTACTACTAACATCAGACAGAGAAAATCGTAATTCCATTGACTAGACAGCAGATTTGAGAAAAATTCTTTTTTTAATTCAAAACATACATTTTTATTATACTTAAAATATGTTTCATTGTTTAATGATTTAATTTAAATTTTATTATTTTATATAAGCTATGCTTTGGACGTTAAAATTACGCCCGTTTCGAACCTTCCCGCCACAAACCTTAAGCTCATATCGAAATATCGTCGATGTCAGAAGACCGCCACTTCACGGCCTTACGACATAAATATCTATTTTTTTAAAATTTTTCTGAAATTGTTTAAAATAAATAGAGACAAGTTTAGTTCAAGAAATCACTCGATTTTTGTAAGGCGAGTATAGAGCACAACGTTATACGCTTCGTTTATGAGGCGTGCCATTATTGGCTCAATAAAGAGAAAAAAATACAAATAGATTATAACTTGATGAATAAATTATAATTGTACACTGCAAAAAAAAATTTCATTTTTTACATATTGGAAAGTTTAATTATACGAATATTTTTACAGTAAGAATATTTAAAGTGCAATACTTGTACATGCAGTAATACTAATTTTAATTCTCAATAAGATAATCATTGAACGTTCAGTACGGCTTTCTTGAAAAGGCATACAGTAAGTTTCCTGTAATGAGCTTAAAGTAATTAACGAAAGTAAGAAACGACAACAATACAATGAATTGCTAAAATTTTAGATAATGTACTCATATATAAATTGCAATGTTAGATTTATTTCTTTAGATGATACTTATACACTCAGAAAGAAAAAATACATTATAGTTAGAAAATTTTCTTTTATGCAAGAATATACTTATAATTACGTATAAATTCCTGATAATTTTAAAGAATAAATGTATAGATAGCTTGAAAATAATTAACATAGAAAATAATATTTTTAAGTTTATATTTTCAATGAGATCAAAAAACATATGGGTCCTTTCATGTCAAAGCGACCGACATGATAATTCGAATCGATCCCTTTTGAGTTGGATGAATTTCGGCCAGAAGCTCTCTTTCATCGTAAAGCGAAATGAGTAATTACTCTTCAAATCTGTGTACAAACAATGATATCAAATATATTTATTCATTTACGATTTTTTTTAAAAATTTTACATATACGATCTTCCGTAGAACTCGAATATTCATTAACTCTCACATTTCCGTCGCTCATAGGTACGATAGAGTGTACTTTTTGCGTCCCGGTGATTGACTTCGCTGTATGGTACCGAAGATCCAATTTCTCTTCTGCAGTTAAATAATCATTTTCAGGTGAAAACTTCACAGCAATATTAGGTAAAGAACCTGATTCAGCTGCCCATCTATACAATTCTTGAGGTGTTGTTATCTGATTATCGACTGGTCGTTGGAGACTAGATCTAGCCGCAATTCTTTTTACTGTTCCTCCAATTCCATCACAGGGGCCCTTGCCGTGAGCTGTGGCAAAATAGTGCCATTCAGCATCTAAATGAAAGTCATCTTTATGATAATAAATATTAACAAAGTTTTTGAAATTTTTGAATTGCTGTGGAGCACCATCAGAAAAATAAATAATTTTCACTGCAGTGGGAAAAGATTCTTTTACAAAGTCAGTTACAATTTTGAGGTATACATAAACAGCTATTGCATCATGATTATTATTATCGGAAATAATAACCAAACTTCGATGAGTTATTTCACTGTTTTGCTTGAAATAGATAACCACCTGAAAAATCGTAGCTTGGTTATTATTCCAATGGAATCCCGGTGCTGCGTTTTAAAGTACAAATGCGTAATTTTCAGCAAAATCGTAAATTGCTAAAAATTCATTATCTTGCAACGATTTTTTGGTTCTTTTCATGAAAGCAGATTGCTCTTTAGCAATGAAATCATGCGGTAAGAGACTAACATTATGATGACAAAATGTTTCGATAAATTCCGGAGAAGCCTTGATGATATTTTCGAGGCTACAGCGAGGATTAGATATCCAATTTTTATACGTGACATCATCCACTCCATTTTCATCGAACACCTTTTCCAATAACTTCTCGAGAACTTGAATTCCTGGGTAATTCGGGCATTTCATTAAATAACAAGCAGATGATGAATTAGGACATAGAATGAGCTTGAAGCAATCTTTATATTGCGTCAAACAAATTGCTGAATTATTAGTTAGTTTTGCCAAATTAGACCCTACCAAAAAATAAAATTATTAACTTCCACTAGTACCACTAGATCCTGCGAGTACACAATGTAAAGGTCTCAATGATGCAAAACTAGATAATCCTATTCGGTTATCAGGATGTTGTTCTTTAAAAGTTTTATACAATGCTGTTAAATAACATAAAATAAGTTTTTTTTGGACTGGTTTTTTTTTGCCGCCATCTTTCGCTATAGAAAGACAATCTTTCTTGCCAGGCAAATTCACACTCACTTCATCACTTTCATAAAATTCAATGACCTTGCGTTTGATATCGCTGGATAAAGGTCGTCCTATAAAAAAACAATTATTATGAAAAAGATCAGTTAAAAATTTATAAGATATCGTTGTGATGCTGGACTATATTGCAATAGGAGTAAAATATAAATTGTGATAACAATAGACGAGTTAAAACTATACCTTGTTTTTTCTCTGGCTCTGACAAAATTCCTTTTCTTTCTTTAAGTGATTTTGATAATATTGCCATGTGCTTTGTAGCGCCCATAACGTCACAAATCTTGTTAATACTCCAATCACTTGGCAGAAGTGTCAGAATTTGTACTTTTAGCGTTTGAGGAGTGTTCTCTGCTTTAAATTTATCTTTAAGATTCTCCAAAATTTCATGATAATTAACAGAATTTTCGTAATGATTAGAAACATTGTCTAGCTCTAATAATTTAGCAAATATCGAGCAAATTTCATTATATTTCCCACTTAAGTAAGATGGTCGATCTATTGCAAATCTATCTAACGGTGAAATATTTAATAAAGCCAAAGCATCGTTTATTACAGGTAATTGTGTGTTCAAACTTAACTGTGATATAGTTCGAGTAAGCTCTTCACCTGATATTGATTGTGATCCTTAAAATAAAAAAATTAATGATAATTGTTTGTATAATAAAAAAAAAATTCAATTGAAATTAACAGAAAAATATACCTGAACAAAATGAAACACCACCAGATATTGGCTCAGATCTTTCATATTCATTTGTTTCAGTGTCACTATTATTATGTTCAACATTCTCATCATTATCATCTTCAATATTCTCATCATTATCATCTTCAACATTCTCATCATTATCACTCCCATTACTGTCACTACTAAAGTTAGTTGATGTAGATGCAACTGATTTTATAGATGACAATTTTTTTCTACAAGCTGTACACAAATAATCAAAACTTCTAAGATTCCAGGAGTTTTGTAATTTTACAGAAGCTCGTCTTAACCCCGATCTATTTTTATGATTTGCAATTTTTAATGGATTACAAGATCTATTAAATCGCAATTTGGACTCCATAATCACTCCATGTTTAGTAAAAAATAACAAATTAACATACACAACACAGGATTAAGTAGGATTCAAATAATAAATATAAATACTCAGAAATTTTAGGTTAATAGATGAATAAACAATAGATCCAATTGTCGGTAATGTCGTAATAAGGAAATATTCAATAGCGCCATCGTGTGAGGAAATGACGCGTTTTTTTCAAAATCAAAATAAGATTTATTAATGAAATTGTTAAATTGACAAAAACTTTTCATTACGAACAGAAAATTTCAAAATATGACTTCTATTAAAGACAATACCACAGACAAATAAATAAATTTGATATCATTGTTTGAACACAGATTTGAAGAGTAATTACTCATTTAAATTATCTATTCTCAGTAAAAAGTTATATAAATTACTTAAAAATAAAAAGAAAAATAATATTTAGTTAATACATGAGCATTAATGTCGATTTATAGAGGAAAAATAATTTTGTTAATTTTAAAAATTAAAAAAAAAATAGAAGTTATGAAATGCCCTTGATCGGATGGGTCTTAAAAGTTGCAGAAAGAACAGTAGTTTATTATAGCAAAATTTCAAAAAAATCGAAGGGTGCTTGAAATTCAGAAATCAGCTTAAAAATTTTCAAACTTGAAATTCATATAGTAAAATATTTTAAAGAATTTTTTTGTATTTTTTTCCAAAAACTACGTGAAAAAACGAAAATTTAAAAAAAAAACACTTAATTTCATCCATTTTTGACAAAGTTATAGGCAAAAAACCAAAAAAAGAGCGATTTTTTTAAATAGTTCATATCTTTTGAACGGGTTATGAAAAAAATCTGAAAATTTACCTGGAAGCCTTTCTCAATGAGTATAAAAACATATTAAAAAATCAAGAAAATTAAAAAAAAAAATTTTCAAACTGTCCGATTTGGCGTGGAATGCCCCATAGAAACCTTCTATTGTAAAGTGAAAAACTCTCCACTCTTTAAAACACATAAGTACAGTAAACGTCCTTTTTTTCACAACCAATGAGATGTTTGGTTTCAAAAACGATATAGTTGTAGCCCTCTACAAGCATAGGTAATTAATCGTCGACACTCAATGCGTCAGTCACTTTGAATCTTCTAAATTATTCACTTCGTAGTAATTTGTGCATTTAATTTCATAGTGAGCTTCGATAGCAATTAATAGATTTATTTTCAAGTAAAAGTATTCAACCGGAAAATTTTAATAAGAATGGCTCACTTATTCAGCAATTCGGGACTAAATGAAGGAGTTCTTGATAATTTTGAACCTGAGCTTCAAGAAATTATTTTATCCTTGGAGCTACCTCCTGTGAATCCTGTGAGTCCAATGATAAATTCCAATGAATCTGATGCCTGTCACAAAGTTTTTGATCGAGAATCATCGACGTATGAGCAACGATCAATTAAAAAAAAGGTAAGATTTTTTTTTATTTCTACTCTTACAATTGTTCTGTAAGTATGACTATTCATAATTTACCTCAAAAAATTTTGTTAAAATATATTACGGAAAACGTCCCGTTGAATTTTTTTTTCTTATTAGATTATTTTTCAGTTATTGATAG